CCTGACCCCAGGTGTTCTGGTCCACCTGTCCACAGGTGTTCTGGTCCGCCTGACCCCAGGTGTTCTGGTCCACCTGTCCTCAGCTTCCTGTGCTCCATGTTCAGTGTGTTACACACAGTGACACCAAACAGCCCTGTGACTACCTGACACCCTTTAAACAGGCAGACTGGTTATAGACTGGTTACAGACTGGTTACAGACTGGTTACAGACTGGTTACAGACTGGTTACAGACTGATTACACACTGATTATAGACTGGTTACACACTGGTTACAGACTAGTTACAGACTGGTTACAGACCGGTTACGCACTGGTTACAGACTGGAGACACCTGAGATGCTGATTCCAGGACACACCTGAGTCCAACATGTTCCTGTGGTTAGATTAGTTTCAATCTTTTCTAGAGAAACTGTTCTTTGTGTCAAGGCCAGTTTTATCTGTTTTTATATTTTATGTATTTATTTATTATTTTGTCGGCTTGAAGTTTATTTATTTATTTACCTTTGTGGGTTTTTGGTTCTTTAACAAAAATGTACAAGCTAGTTTGTGTCTGCAACATTTAAATGATTAATCTTATTGTTCAAAATGTGCACTTTTAAATAATTTATGGTCCGAGGTCCAAACTGTGGAAGCGCTCGCTCACAAACAAAAAAACAGACAAATTTAAACGTTTCTCTTCCTGATTGTCACTCTGCTCGTGTTTCTCAGAGCCGGGAGTTTTTAGGAGCCTGAAAACATCTCCGCACGAGCCGCTCTCCGTGACTCATCACCGGCCCGCTCCACATCCGACCACAAAGCAGATTCAGAACCCAATACGAGAAGTTACAGCCTGGAAAGATGCCAAAGAGGCAGAAAACCAAACCCCCACAAACAATATCTGCAGAAAACACAAAATGCTTTGGAAGTGAAAGATGTCGGCGAAGAGGCCGGGGCGTAACGATAACAGGTTGGAACTTTTTCTGGGAGCAGACTGAATTTTATGCATCGAGAAGTTTCAAACCACCAGCAGAAGTTTGAAGAACATTTTTAGAAACGGACGAAGGACGAAGTTGGTCTGTGTGAGCTCTGTGCTCGAGTCAAACGTGAAGGAAGTGCGTTACGGAGGCCTGACGGAGCAGAGACATGAACTCTGCAGCCGAGCTTCACAGCACGAGTCGGTTCCTGGTGGAAACAATCAACAACAAAGTCCAGCTCTCCGGCTCGTGTCGTTTGTTTCTGGTAGAAATTCTTAGGAAAAGACGCGACGCGGTCCAGTGACCGTGGCTCAGTCGACTTCCTGCTAAATGTTCCTCTGGGTTTGTTTTCAAACAGCAGCTGAACCTCTTCGGGTTTGACATTTGAAAACCCGACCAGACTCAAAGCTCGTATTTCACCGGGCCGCAGCGTCCCGGGTCCCTCTGAGGGAACCTGAAACCAACTCCAGTATGGATCACGGTCCAACACTGGCGCTGGTATCAGATGCCATCCAGGACAAATTAATGCCAAATTATGAGACCCGAGCGTTTTGACAAACATCAGATTTGGGTCTGGTTCAGTCTGACGTGTCACGTGCACGCTGCCTCAGAATATTTGGGCTGCTCTTGCCTGCAGTGTGAACGCAGTTTAAAAACAGCTCCAGAACTCTGACGTTCATGGAGACTAACCAGAAACAGGTTTGAGACGCTGCAACGAGTCTTTCGGCTTCTCTTTGCTGCTCATGAGCTGAAATTTATTTAAATAACAAAAATATTTTAAAGTCAGTCACACGACAGCGAACCTCTGCGACCGCGAGAGGAAACCGTTTTGGAGACTCCCTCCAGAAACCCGTTCGCCGACTCGTCTCCAGCAGTCGCTGCCCGGCGAGATTCTGACCCTGAAGTGTGTTTTGGATAAAAATCAAAATAATCCACATTCGGTTGATTTTCCTTTTGGAAACTTTAACTCCTCTTTTTCTGGATGCAAATCAAATTTTTTTGGACCGTTTCCTGTGGTATCGGATGCTGCGCAGCTGGAAAATTTTTTACTGAAACTATTTTAAATTTTGGGCATTTGTTATGCGTAACCATGGCAACAAGTTTTTTGTGGTTTTTTTTTTACAACCAGGAGCAGCTGATTAACATCTCAAAAGCTCAAATATCTCAGCTACAGCCCAAAATCTCAAATGAGTAGAAAAGGAGGCTCCGTGGATGCATTCCCGTCTCCTTGCCAGCTGTGCTCGAGTGCCTGACCACTGACATCCTGGAACTGGCACGAAACACGGCTCGTGACAGCAGAAGGACCGATATCGTCCCTCGACACCGGCAGCCGGCTGGAGGAGCTCGACAGGCTGCTGGGAGGAGTGGCCATCACTCTGGGAGGAGTTCTGTCCGGCACTGGGCAGTGCTGCAGCCTGGGGGATCCGAGAGGCCAGCCGAGTCTGGGTGGACAGCATCTGCGGCCAGTTTCTTTGGATCCGCTGTGGGACGGACCTTTACAAGAGATCCTGCCTACAACATCAGTATCTATAACATTTAATGAAACGAGGATGACGAGTTACAAGAACATTTAATTTCCCATTGGGATTAATTAAGTATTTTTTTTTATTAAATTGAATTGGGAGTCTCACTGGAATGAAAAAATCAAAGAGGAATGTCGTGTTTTACATAAATTAAAGTTCAGACTGAAGGAGGAAAAGAAAGAAGGAAAATGTTCTGGTTAAGGCAGCGTGTTGCACTTTGGATGTAAAAACTAAATAATCGAATCGAGGCTTGTCCTTCAGAACAGTTTGTTCAAGTTTGCACATTACTGACACTAATTTAAGCCCATTAAAGACTTGTGAGCACATTTAATCGGCCTGCTAATCCAGTTACACGAAAAGATAATCTGCTTTAATTTCTGCTGAGTAAAGCTCGCAGTTTGAGGCTCGTGCCGGGCGGTTCGCCGAGTCACGCTTGGTTTTGGATCCGGGAGCGGTTTGTCTCTAACGAGGCATTAATTAGACACGCCGTTAGGCTCAGCAGCATCAATCCGACAGGAAGACGCCACCGCAGCGGGAGAAAACACACAAAAAAAACAACTTGGCTTGTGTTCGACTTCATGATCAACATTAAAACATTTAAATTAATAAAGTGTTGAAGGTCCTATTCTTCTAAAAACCCAGCGATGACTCCGGGGAGTAACTCATGTGGATTTGGTGTTACGGGTCTGTTTGTGCCGTGAGGTTAATGTAACAGTTAATAAAATAAAAACTAAATTAAACGTTTAGTGTAGTCGTGTGCTGATCTGAAATGAAGAGGGGGTGCAGCTTCTACGCATCTCTCATCATCATCAGTGCTTTAAGAGAGTAATCAGATCTCGCTCTAAACTAAAACAGACACAAATTATTATAAAAACACACAAAACAAAGGCTTTACCTAAAAGTGGTCTCTCTACAGGTTCACCGAGCTTCCACGAGAAAAACTAATCGAGAAAACGGTGAAAAGATCGTCTGCTACCACAACTCCAGTGTTTATGTCTTCACGGTGTTTACAGGAGGACGACGGCTGCAACAACACGAAGCCTTCTGTACAGTTCAAAGGTCAAAGGTCATCTCCATGTAGGAACTCCTCGACGAGACGCTGACAGACGCCTCTGTAGTGGAAAAAGTTCGCAGATTGTCCAGAAAGTTCCTCCGGCTCCTTCAGATCATCCGATTGGTGTGCAAAACCCCCACCTTCACAAAATCCAGCTGCTGTCCGCTTAGAAAACATCGACGAGGCTTTAACCCGCCCTGGTCCTCCACGGAGAACACACACACACACACACACACACACCTTATTGCCTCATGGTCAGGTGACACCCCCCACAGTTCAGCGACTCACGTTAAGGTCCAGAGAATCGTCCCGCACGGCTCGTTGTTCGGAGTCTTTTTGTTTTCGGGCCGAGCCTTGTCCTCGGTGTGCGGGAGAATTCTGCTCCACCTGAGTCCCTTCAGAGTCCAGAGGTCTTCAGTGTCTCAGTTCGTCTCATCTCATCCGGTTCTGACGCATCAGGGGGACGATGCAGGATGGAGGACCGGCCTTCTGCAGGAAGGGGTGCTTGAGCAGCTCGTTGGCTGTGGCCCTCTGACCCGGTTCTCGCACCAACATCCGGTCCAGGAAGCCTTTGAGGACAGGGGAGACCTGAGAGGAACATGCATGTTGTATGGTCAGTCACGTGGTTTTTGGTGGATTCAGACCCTCACTTCAGATCTGCGTGTGGACACTGCTGGAGGAAGCTGCATCATTTGATAGTTTTTATGTTTAACTTCACATCGCGTACCTTTAATCTTTAGTCAGACTGTGATGTTTTAGATTAACGGATCTATAAGAATAAAAAAGATCCGGTTTTTGTTTCCATACCTTGTGCAAGTTCTTCAGTTTGGGCGGCAGGTTGTCTCGAATCATCTTCATGGCTTTGAGCGGCGGCTCGTTGAAGTATGGTGGCTCTCCGTCCACCATCTCTATGACCATGATGCCTAGAGACCAGATGTCCACCTGCGTCCAAACAGAACCCGTCAGCAACACGCAGGGACAGACCGCTGCTTCATCAGACGGAGATTAAAAAAACCGGAGCGCTACCTCGGGTCCATACGGAAGTCTGGATATGAGCTCCGGCGCCATCCAGTACGGCGTTCCAACCAGAGACTTCCTCCTCGGAACTTCCTTTGACACCTGAGCGCAGAATCCAAAGTCTGACAGCTTCACCTGGACACAGGAAGTGCACTTTCAAAAACAAGTCGTGTTCTTTTCTTTTGTTTTTACTGCAGTGAAAGTTCTCAGAAAACTTCTTCACTTTTCAGTTTTGGCTGTAAATAAAATGAAATCTCTATTTCAGGCACAACTTCCTCTTTTCTTTTTATTTGAAACCTTAACGTCTGAATGGTCCACACACCTGAGTGACGACAGACAGGCTTCACCTGTTCTCAGAAGGTTCTGCACGGCTGACTGGGCCGAGGCAGAACCTAAGACCTGACTGCTGGTCTCGTTCTGGAACGAGGAACGAAATGAATCAGCTGAGGGGCGTGACGGATCAGTGCGACCTCAACGACCACCTGAACTCTGCAGGAAACAAACATCTTCTAACGGTGCAGCTCTTTGCTCCAGCTCTGACTTCATTAACCCAAGATGAACCCAACATCTGGTTCTGTTTGTCCCTCAAACGGGCCACTCGGCGAGCAGGTGCTACAGGACACGCCCGTCCTGCCGAGAAGCATTCAGGCTCGGCTGAGTCCACTTCCCCTACTGGGTCAAACCACAAGCTCACGCCCAGCTCAGCAGCACGCCACGAGAGCCGGTCGTCAGAACCTACGATCGGCGACGGGTTCTACTGCGAACGAAACAAAACAAACTACACAGTTTCTGAAGAAAGAAGAAACTACAGTCAGACGTCGGTCTGCACCAAACACACGCCTGAAAACATCAACTACGATGCTCTGAGTTCAAACACCACAAGTTCTAGTAGCAACGCTGAACACAACCAAGTACTCACTGGGTACATGTCCTGAAAGTATCTGCTTGTTTACAGGATGCATGCATGGTCCATAACTGTACACACCTGGTACTCACAGGGAACGCACCTGGTACTCACAGGGAACGCACCTGGTACTCACAGGGTACGTACCTGGTACTCACAGGGTACGCACCTGGTACTCACAGGGTACGCACCTGGTACTCACAGGGTACGCACCTGGTATTCACAGGGAACGCACCTGGTATTCACATGGAACGCACCTGGTATTCACAGGGAACGCACCTGGTATTCACAGGGTACGTACCTGGTACTCACAGGGAACGCACCTGGTACTCACAGGGAACGCACCTGGTACTCACAGGGAACGCACCTGGTACTCACAGGGAACGCACCTGGTACTCACAGGGTACGTACCTGGTACTCACAGGGAACGCACCTGGTACTCACAGGGAACGCACCTGGTACTCACAGGGAACGCAACTGGTACTCAGAGAACACAACTGGTACTCAGAGAACACAACTGGTACTCACACAAAACACAACTGGTACTCAGAGAACACAACTGGCACTCACACAAAACACAACTGGTACTCA